CCGATTTTGATACAGCCGTAGATCCCGTTTTGGCCGTCGATCCGGACTTGGACACCGCTGATCCTGTTTTGGATGGGGCAACGGATCCAGCCTTGGACGCCGTAGACCCAGTCTTGGGTCCGGATCCAGATTTTGACGCAGCAGCGGTGGATCCCGTCTTGGACGTCGATCCCGGTTTGGACACCGTCGATCCCGTTTTGGACGTAGCAACGGGTCCAGTCTTGGACGCCGAGGTAGACTTGGATCTAGCGGTGGATCCAGACTTGGATCCGGCACCTGACTTCGAGGGAGAAACGGAAGTCTTGGGCGCGGGTGTAGATCCTGCCTTGGACACAGAAGTGGATCCCGCTTGCGGAGCAGATTTAGAAACCGGATTCGTTTTGGGCTTGGCTTTCGGGGAAGCTCGGGCCTGCTTATGGGGACGGGAAGATCCGGTGCTAGGAGCGGGAGATGTACTACGCGGGCGTTTCGCAGTCGACGAATCCGCCCCACTTACCGTCGGAAGAGGAGCAGAAACGCTAGCGGCCTGAGGGGGCCCCGACAAGGGAGGAAGTGGATCCGAGACGGCAGCTGTCACCAGCGCCAGTCGTCGACGTGCCAAATCGCGCTCCGACAGGCCGCGATCGCGCTCCAGGATCAGCTGTTGCTGCTGAGTTTGGGCTGCGGAAAGTTGATCCTGGAGTTTCGCGGTGGTCGCATCTGCTTTCTTCAATTTGTCACCTAGATTGACAATAACAAGTGAATATGGAGTTACTAGCAAGGGCTAAAAGAGGATCCACGTACTCATGCGGCGAAGCTTGGATTCCAGCTCCGTTAGCGCACGCTCGGCATCCGCCCACTCGGTAGTCGCCTTGTCCCGCTGGAGCTCGCTGTCTGCCAGTTTCGTTTGGATCTCGTCCCGCAATCGAGTCATACGCACGAATTCTTCAAGCGCGTAATCTCGTCCGGCAGACGCCCTCTCGAGCGACTCCTTGGTGTCTTGCAACTCCTCAGAGAGTTGAGCCAGGGCTACATCCGGCGACGAGGGAGGTGGATTTGGCGCGGGGGACCCTCCGCGCGCCGACCCTAAGGCGGATCCTTCATGGGCGGATCCCACATAGTCGTTGGTCACCACCTCCTCCTGGGTCAAGCGCAACTCGTCACGGAGGCGGTCCAAGCTCACATCCGCAGCTGCCCTAGCAGTCTGGGAATCCTCCAGATCCCGCTCGAGGTCGTGGATCCGGGATTGGAGTTGGTGGATCTCAGATCCGGCGAGTGCCATCTCCCTAAGGTGATGGTCGTTGTCATCTCGCATAACGTCTCGTTGACGGGAGGCGCGATCCAGCCGTCCGGTCAGGTCGCGGATCTCGACCGCCTGATCAGCCAACAGGAGTCGCAGGTCCTGCGACCGAGAGGCCGCACGGTGCTCCTACCCCTGGATCTCCATCGCTTGGTCATGGATCTGGGCCCGCAAGGTCTGAAGTTGGGTAGTGTGTAGAGACGCAGCTTGGTCTTGGGCATCTTGAGCCGTCTGGAGCTCCGCCGTCAGGGTTTGCACCTGATCGGAAAGAGCCTGGGCTAGAACCCGCAGATCGGTGGGCGACATGGAAGACGGACTGGCCGGAGGTGTGGTGGATGGGACCTTGCCCGACGATTTGCCGGTACGCTTGGCGGGAGACATGTGTCGCGAAGGAGAGAAAGCGGTTGTGGATGCTGGTGATGCACGTCGTGGACGCTGTTGTGCAGCGCCGACCACGTACAGGAGGCGATTGTGGTGAAGTGCTTTCTCAGAAATAAGAGAATGGTCCTGACGCGGGGTCACTATCCCGAATCAGTGACAATTTCAAGTGATTATAGAGGATTTGGGTTGTTTGGCACGGGTGCAAGTTGCCTGTGGTGAATTAGCCATGGCGAGCAGCACCCCGTATGGAATGACGATGGATCTGATATGAGCGACGTACGAGAAGGCAAGATCCACCAAGACTTACCTCGGATCCACCCTTACCTGGATTCGCTAAGATGGATATGGGGATATACTATACAAGAGTGGATCGAGTGTGGATCCTATGAAGGAAGGATGGTTCGGTGCCCTCTGACGGTGGATCTAGTAGCCACGGCTAATGAGGAGTCAAAATCCACCGCGAGGTACCCCGGATCCCATACTTCTGAGTTCGTATCCAAGGAGGGAGGATCCCGCCTGGAGGGACCTGGATCCAGGGTATAGGGATGAGGGATACAGTGGATCTCGAACTTTCGTGGGACAACGGAGATCACAGACGGTTGCGAGATGATGTTGGATGATTGGAGAGCTCGGATCCACGGCGAGTGTACCATTACAGTGAGGTGGATCCAAGCGACCTGGATCCGGATGAGTGTACCCATAATAGGGTGACCATGATGATTACGTCATATATCCGGTGGATCTGAAGATAACACAGCTGGGATGATGGGTCAAGGGAAGAAGGGACATGCAGCCGAGCCTGGTAAGGGATTTAGCAGATGAAAGACATAGAAGGTAGAAACCCAGGCAGGTATAGGCTTAAATATCAATACAGTCCTCAATTTGCACAGTATCACGCAAGTGCCTTCCTGCCCTCAAGAACCGGAACTACATTGGCCGTACGAGCTCCGAGAAGGTTGGGAATTGCGAATCTAGTGTTGGTAGTGATAACTGGATAATACATTGGCCAGATCCTACAACCTAGTGAGCTTTTCCTTTACTCGTGCAGATCCGACAGGTTAACCGAATTTACTACTTGGTCGGTTACACCCTAGAGGTTCTCAACTCTCAAGATCCCGTCACAGGAGGCGGCAAGTACGACTTAAAGGACAGCACAAAGGCAAGGGAACACACCCGCAAGGCAACCCTACGGCCAGATCCACGATCTAGGCCCCGGATCCATAAGCTCGAATATTCGCTTAGGATACGGAACCATCCACGGACGCAGAGTGAAGATTTTCCACTGCTGCTCCACCCCATCCCCACGTCTCGCCAAGACACTCAAGCTTCACCACTTGAACTCTTCGGAAGTTACCGAGAGAGCAGATCCCGCCCTACCGACGGGTACACAAGGTGAGGAAAGTTCAGCAGAACACGGATCATCGGGGGACCCCCTCCGTTAGTCGGTGTCTGGGCGCAGTTGGTAAGTTGGATCTGGCAATCTCGCAGATTTTGCTGATCCCGCTACACCACAACAGATTCTACAACGCCAACCACGGCTAATTATTATCACGGACGGCTGGCCAAACGTTAATCGAGAAAGCATCGTAAACTACGTTATCGTGTCTCCCAAAATGCGGCCGATGCTGTGGTCATCTGGTACAACGGGAGGTCAAGCTCATACTGGAGAATTTATGGCATTTGAGATTTCTCGTATGTCCGAGGTGGAAGCCGTCGCGGGTGTCGGGAAGGTGATTGCCGTAGTATCCCACAATGCTGCGAATATGAAGAAAGCTGGACGCCTTGTTGAATTGAGACACCCAAATGTGGTCTTCAATGGTTGCTCTGCTCACACTATGAATTTGCTACTGAAAGATATGTTCAAAAGTGAGTTTTTTGCGAACGTCTTAAAAAAAGCTGTGAAGTTGGTAACATTTGTACGGGCACGACACCTCCTTCTGGACCGAGTTCGTGCCAAGCGTCGGGCTCTTCCAAAGAGAGCAAAGATTGGGGAGCTGTCGGCTCCGGTATCTTCAAGACGGTATGACCAAGAGAAGTGTATAAAAAGCGTGGTTCGCAACAAGTCGCCGTTGAAGGAGGCGTTGAGCTCATGCTGCATTATGCTGACGCAGCAGCTGCTCAAAAACGCAACGATGTTGTAGACATACTGCAAGACAAGCAGTTCTGGGCTAGTGCAAAAATCGCTGTTCGACTGACCAAGCCTGTCACGCGCGCGCTCGCCAATTTTGAAACTGATACATGTTCCAATTCGATGATTCTGCACGAGTTTGAGCGATTAAAGCACACAGACGTGTACACGGCTTCTATTCCCGGCCTCACCGACCCATCTGTGCAGGCCAAAATACTTGCCCTGATCGATGATCGCTGGAAGTTCATCACTCCACCTTCCAACTCAACAAGAATCGCATACTTACTGGACCCATCCAAGGACACTTCTGTTTTTATTGGCGACAGTATGCGCGATACAGTTGCAGGTGCTGTTAAGCTGGCTGAACGCTTTGGATTGCCCCCGGATATTAGTCCAGCTAGCTTTCGCTTGGAGTTACTGGACTTTATTGGCATGAAAAAATCCAGGACTGCTGAAGAGAAGACGAAAGCTGGTACAGATACGCCTCTGCATTGGTGGCTGATGGACGGAGTTTTCCCCAAACTGTACCGCTTTGCTAAAAAGGTGCTCAGTGTTCCTACTTCATCTGCTGCAAGCGAACGGCTGTGGAGTGCTCACGAATTTACGCAGACCAAGCTTCGTAATAGCCTTCGAGCTAACACTGTTGAGAAACTCGCTTTTATCTACACGAACAACGGTGATTCCAAGCCAACCAGTATGCCACTATACCAGACACCGTCGACAGCGAGCGATTACTGCAGCGATAGTGACAGTGACGATAACGGCGATGAAGATGACGATGAATGCTTATTTGACTTGCGCGACGCCGAATTTGAATACTTATTGGATTCAATCGTCAGCGTGGACATCGCTTCTGAAGAGGAATTATTGTAACAAAGCGCAGCAATTACACATTCGTGCTGTCCTCCTAATCTAATTCTTGGCTCTAATGCAATTCGTAGTGTTGGCCGGATAATTCATGGTGTTCTGGACGTTGCCGCTCTCAATTTTTGCACTGCATGTCCCAATATCTTTGCACTTCGAATGTTATCATTTCTTCCGTTCCTTAGGTAACGGTGGCTGCAGCATTTGCAGAGCTCCACCATTACATTGAGGGTTGTCGCCACGCTTCAAGAAGGATGCATTTCCCTCTTAAATCGCACGGTACCGTTGCTTCTGCATCGGTAACTCTTCGACCTTGTTCTTGGAAAGAATACCCCTACGGAGTATATGGTGATATCTGCGCAGCGATTTACAGACGTGAAGTCTGGTTCTTTTGTCTGTGCGCTTCATCCGCTATAAGACACCACCAATGGATCTTTGATAGCACGGCAATGGCCTTGATCGCCACTTCGTACGTTGTCATGAGAATGTTTAAGTATTTTTACTCATCAACAACGACCAGAGAATTGTCGTCCATATCACCAGTTTGGCGATGTGGATACTGCAGCCTGAGATGTTCCTTTCCATGGAAGCGCATGGTCTTCTAGTGCTTGTTCATGAGTGAATCCAGATCCAGCAACACTTGTTTAGTCTCCCACGACGCGTGCATGTAGGCGAATTTTTTTTCTCCATTTGGTAAGATACTTAGTTATCATCATCATGGCAGGTCGATTAGCGAGCATATTAGCGCTGGCCGAGGCCCGACGGAAGTGGGGCTGGTTTCGCGACCTCTAGTTGCATATCTCGATTATCATAGTGGCCGCAACGGCCTGGCCTTCGTGTCGGCTTGGCCTCCTGGAGCAGGACCCGCTTGAGCTTGCTCGTAACCAGCTAAGCCTCGGCTGTTTCGGAGTCCAAGTCGTCGTCTCTAGGTCGCTTTTTCGGGTTCTTCTTGTGGGAGTCACTGTCGGGAATCACGACAGCTTCGTCCGAGTCAGGCACGTGGCCGTGTCAATGATCGGCATGTAGCTGCTCGGCCAAAGGCAGTCTCCTAGTTGCTGTTTAGATCCTTGGTTTTCGGCTTCTTTGCCATCACTTGACGTGTGGTAGGCCTCGCACTGCTACGGTCGCGGTTCGAGTGTTGGCAGATCTCGCAGATCCACGTCTTCTTGACGGCTATCACCGCAGCTATGGTTGTGCTCTTTTGTGCACCTTGTAAATATGCATACTCTGCACCTAAATGTTTGTAGTATCTGCGTTCAGTGTTGCAGTATTTAATTCGTATTTAAATGCTATTTAAGTATTTAACCAACTAAATAACAGCCCTATACTGACAGGCATATTTACGATTTGTACCTGCACTATCCATTGACATAAAAATTACCTTCATGGATGGCTTTCATGAAAGAAATATGTGACGTGTGAAAAATGTTGTGTGGCAATTTAAAAGTCCTCGTCATCCGAGAAGCTTAACTCGTCGTCTGAAGAGATGTCGCTGATAAAATCGTTCTGACACGAATACTGAGTCTGTGGCGTTTCAAAAATCCATTTTGCCAATGCCACGATCCACGGAAACCCTCAACTGCTAAATCTTCTGTTACTTCTAAAGCCTTGAGTTGCAGCATTTTGGAGCTAATAGGAACACCTTCTTTTCTTAGCAGATTGATCCACTGAACAGTTGGAGCCTCCTCTTCCTTGGGTAGAATTGTTGCGATTCCTGGCGCCCGAACATACCTCATAGCTGCTATTGAAGCAGTCTTGCAGCGTTCTTCGAGCACCCGCACATCGTTCTTCCACTGATAAATCAGTTTCCTCCTCTGCTCTTTAGCGTGATCATTTAGGCTAGGATAGAAATTAGCCAGAGTTGCCTGAACATCCTCGCATTGGATGAAGTGCCGTGCTACTTCTAACTTGTGGCGGTTGGTGAAGCTCGATCTGCTGTGCTTGGCCTTCTTGCGCCCCGCACTGGTCGTTTTTGGGCGCCCTTGATGCTGGGGCATCGTCGCTAAATGCCAAATGGGTTTATTTTCTGCACCGCACTGAACCTGTCTGTAAGCACGTAAACTCCTGTGACACACTATTTCTAGACCTGCGATTGGCTGGTTAAATTGTCAGAAATGACTGAACGTCAGTAAGCACATAAGGAATACGGTAATTTAGAGGTGTATCAGGGGTAAGCGCGCAATGGAGAAGCTCACAGACACCGCAACGGTCCCAGAGAATGACACTGTAGTAGCTCGCGACGAAGAGCACAGTGACACTAGCGGCAGAAGCAAAGACGCCAGTGAAGATGGCGAGTGGGGCCCAGACTCAGAGGATGAATGCTCGTGCGGTAGCGAGATCTTAGCAAGCGACAGTAATATTGACGGGGATTCCAGTACTATGGCAAGTGGCATCAATTTGAATGACGGAGATCTTCGTGAGATCGTCACGCGTCTTATTCGAGAGGATCCCTGTGACAAGAAGTGCTTGGAGGGGAAGTGTAACGGGGTACGTAGCCCTAAGTGTACCCCTAGTTACATGAAGTGTGACACGTTACACTTCAGAAGTATGACACGTCATACTCCGGGATATTTGGTACAAGGTACCAAGGTCGTCCAAAGCCAACCATTGGCTGGTGACATTGCATTTCTATAGGTGACTTATAGTTTGTATAAAACCCAAGCTTTAGCTACCTATAAATAAACTCAGTTTATATTCTACCTTAAATAGGTCACTTCGCTCCCTTTTGATAAAGAGGGGACCTGTGAACTGCCGTTCACTGAGAGTTTGTATACTCTCGGAAGCTACCTTCCTCTAGCGCAAGGTGCTGTGTGACCCCGTCACACTTGGTAGCACTCGTAGTCAATCCACGCCACCGCGGGTAGACTACCTGAACCTCTCCGAAGTTTGTTGCCATGGATAGGACCGACTTCTCCCATATGAACGACTCTCAGTTCGAGTCGGTTCGGAAGATGGCAGGCATCTTCGGGATGGAGGCCCTGCAGAGCCTGGTGGTGTCAGCATCGGCCGAGCAGCTCGAGCGCGTCAATGCGTTTGACGCGTACGAGCAGGGGCTCATCGCGCATGTGCGGGAGAACCAGCAGGCTCCGGCGGCGGAAGCCAATCCGCCTCACCCGAAGCCAATACGGATGAAGGTTAAGCCGTATGAAGGGAAGGAAGGCGAGTACCTTCACTTCTGGGCCCGAGATATGGAGCTCGCGATGGGCGCGGCTCTGATCTGGACCGAACAACTTCGTGTTGCTTTTGCACTCTCCAACCTTAGCGGCCGTGCTAAGAGTTGGGTGTACACACGGGAGGCAACATCCCCTGGATGTTTCACATCCTGGGCTCAGCTGTGCGAACAGCTCCGAGCCGCGTTCCTCCCGGCAAACTACGAGTACTGCCAGCGTTCACGCTTCCTCTCGTGCAAACAAGGGAGGCGTGAACTGCACGAGTACGTGCAAGAGATACGGGAGCTCACGGCGTCCCTAGTGGGAAACCCACTCAACGAACACATCAAGATGACTGTGTTCATGGACGGCCTTCGAGTGGGCCCCGCACGCACTCAGCTGTTCCGGGTGCAGTCAAACACCCTTGAAGCGGCAATTTAAGTGGCTCTTCAAGAAGAGTACAGCCATCGCCAGGCGCATACGCCGGCCTAAGCGTGGCCTGGGAGTTCCTTGTCGACTCCCGTTCGAACGAGCCCCAACGGACCAGTTCTCATGGAGCTCGGGTCCGCCAAACAGCGTGACATCCGCTGCTTCGGCTGCGGGAAGATGGGCCACTTCAAGCGCGACTGTCCCGCGGAAAGACTCCGCAGACGGTCTTTCCCCAAGCCCGTCCTCAAGGGTCGCTGGCAGAAGCCAGGATCCCGGGGGCAGGGGGACGCCGGGAACCTGTAGGGGCGGGGCGCCCTACTGGGGAAGAACTAAGTCTTCGTGATGGGTGCACGTGTGGCGTGTACCACGGGGACGTAGCCCCTGAGAGTCTTCGTACTCTCGAATCGGCGAAGAGCAGCGGCGGGTTGCTCGTAGTACACGGATGTGTACGGGGATACGATCATCCCTGTAGAATCTTGATCGATTCTGGGGCGTCGAAGAATTTCGCACGCCGCCAGACGGTTGCTCGTAATAGCAACAAGTTGTCCGATGCTTTGAGAGAAAGCAAGGGCAACGGGACGGTGTCAGTGCGACTGGCCGACGGGAAGGTCGTCACTGTTCCCAACGTCCAAGTGGATCTGGCCGTCAAGTTTGAAGACTTTGACAACCTCGAACAGTTCGCTGTTCTCGACATGGATCCATACGATATAATCCTGGGCATGCCCTGGCTCGAGGAGCACGAACCCTGGATCGACTGGCGAGGCAAGACAATTGGTGCCAGCCGCCCTGCGCAGTCCGACAGAGCATTGGTGAGTCATGTTCCCACCTCTGTCAGGACCCGGGGCGCCCGCAAGGGTTGCCAGGGTACCAAAACATCCGGCAGATGCTTGAAAGTCGCCGACGTATATGACGACTCCAAGGATGTTTCGATGGTGGCAGCGCCCAGAGGAGGCGCTGGCCAAGTGGGTAACTTAGGCCCATGAGCGGGTAACTT